TATCCAGCTCCATCAAATTTTATTTGATTTTATCATTTATCGTAATAATTATAATAAAATATATTTAGAAATTTTACAAACGAAATTCCAACTTCAAATTCACTATTTATTATTCATTATTAGAACGAAAAATTAAAAATACTCCTTACTCCTGAACATTGTTTCCAGCGGGTGCTCGAAGTTCGATCGGCACGATTTTGCTTACAATTGCATTATATCCCACTCGTCATCCATGTAGTGCAAAATTGGTTTTTCATGTACCTTCTCCTGGAAGACTTCTTGCAATATTTTTACGGCTCGTTCCTGTATGACTTGATTACCTGGACAATAATCATCTTCAGCTGAGCAAGCCATTGTAATTAAAACTGGCGGATGAGGTAATTGTATTAGGAACTGTTTGAATTGTTGATAATATAATTCTAATTCTGTATCAGTACTAATATGATGTGGCAAGCCATTGGTATCGCTGGTACTCCCCGAATCAAAAATTACCAACCAATCAATCTCATCGTCGGCATAACACTTTTGCAAAGAGTCAGCTAAATTTTCGATTTTCTTAAATATCTCTTCAGATACTATATTGGTATCAGGTTTCGCCAAACCTTCAAAAGTACGTTTCTCTTCCAAGTGCTCAAAAATTCTTTTCAAAACTTCCAATTGTTGTTTTCTCTTCTCAGTTGTGCCAGACGCATTTGATTCAGTGGCACTTTCAAAATGAAAAATTTCGCTTAGTTGCTCATAACAATTGGCGTCTTTGTAGATCTCTAAAAATGGATTAGAAGTGCTAAAGAAATCTAGATCTATATCCAATATATAGTTTGCGCAATCTTCAGCAGCTAGTATTAGTTTCGGATCGGGGGGGCCTTTCAGCGTCGTTATTCAAAACTTGCAGTTCCAAATCACGTGCCTGCTCCAATTCAGACGTTTGACAATAATTTCCCTCGGATATAAAATAATCCAAAGGACAGTCTACACTGATTTTGTTTCCTCTATGGCCCACCTTGAAGTTATATTTGCCAACTGGCATTTGCTTGCACCACGAATTCTTCATCCAGATGACACGATTAAAATGGCCAGCATAGCAAGCCGGCATAATCCAATTTTCAATACTCAATTCACCTAGCATTGTTTCCTTGTCGTAAGCGGCACTAGCTGGTATTTCACGTGATATAACCATGTCTGGGTGAGAGTCAAAGTGCAGCAAGGTATTGTTTTCCAAGGGCAAGTGCCTGGAGGCTAAGCAACGATAAATGAATTCCAACACATCATTATGATAATCCACGATAAAGATGGGTATACGCTTGAAACGTCGCAGGCCCACAGTAGAAGTAACTAAAGCATCTTGCTGCGATTCATCAGTTGTTGTCACTGTTTGCTCTTTACAATCCTCTAAACGTACTCTCTTTGCTACAGGCTGATCAGAGCTTTCCGGTTTACCCAAAGTTTCAGCATTTTCTACAGCGGCGACAATTCCAGGTGTCGTTAAATTTGAGGTTTTAATGTTTGTTGTCATTATGGATTCAATTAATTTGTTTGCTGATAACTTATAATAATCGTTTTATATTATCAAAAACAAATTTAATATATACTTATAACTTCGTTTTTCTACTTTTTCTTACGTGCTCACTTAATTATCGCGCCTCAGTCTCGTACAATGATATAAAAAAAAAATGAACACACTTGCCAAAAAACTCGAAATCAGGTAAATGAACTCATTACTTTGGCAGAGTTTCCGCAATCTGGATTTATAATAACTTTTAGCGTGCGATTGTCACATTATGGGAATGGAAATATAAAATTTGGTCGCCGTTTTCGATCAGCGAAATTGTGTGATATAGCTAAGTAAGAATTTTTGAAGTCTAACATTTGTTGTTTTAATCATCGCCATGGAAGTGTTCCAAAAATTATCGAACCTATTCTTGTTTCCAATAATGTTTAACGCCATTTTTAACAATGCCCATCGTTTTAAACTTGTGAATTATTCTCGCAGTTATGTACAATTACCACTTTGCTCGGCTGAGTTAATACTGGCGGGGACTTGGCATGTGTTTCTTAATCTCTATACATCATTTGCATTATCGGCTGTGGAGCTACTTCGGATGACGTGCCTAATGGTATGACCACGCATTTCTATACATATTAATTATCGCTATTATCTATCTAAATCGTTTTAGCCTCGTTTGTACCGTCTCTTTGAATAAATAAATAATATTGTTGAATTACCTCTTTAATTGTATATATTATCTTTTTACAAGTATGCCAGAAGCGTCGAAAATTTTTATGTTAATTTTGCTATGAAATTTGCAACTTTACATTTGAGAAACAAGCACTCAGAACTTCTTGCTGCCAAAGTCTTGTTTCTATGAATCCCTCAAGGAATGCTATCGCAAGTGACATTGAAAATAATATGTTGAAAAATCTTTAAAGTATTTAACGAATGGAACAACGCAAATTCACAATATTCCGTTACGAAAGATTGCTGTTACTCCATTTCTGGTTGGTTTGTATCCAAAATCATGTATACATTGAAAATTCAAACTTTTTGTACATTAATTAGTTAAGAAAGTTGAAAATTCAAGCAAAAAAAAAAAGCAATAACTATTGGTTCAATGCAACTAATCATGGGCGAGCTCTAACGCTATTAATCTATAGTCTGCATGATATATAAATAAAAATGTTAACCAGTCATAGGTCAACTCTAAAGCTATCAAACCGTAACCTTCATTTTCTGTTTCTTAAGTAATTATTAGTTGATTAATTAATATTGTCTAGCTCTTTGTATATATGTCAAAACTTCTAATATTTTTTCCTTTAAAAGTCATTTAATATATTCTTCAGAATTCAATTCAATGAATTCTTATTTGCGTTTTGGCGAACCCAGTTTTTAAATTGTTTCGTAATCCCTACGTTTCGACTGTC